TCATGATTGGTAACATATTAATAGACTCTTCAAAATCCATGTCCTCGCTATTTGGCCAGCCAAATATAGAGGACTGTCAAATATACATATATATATATTTTGAGGTTCGACACAGGTACACAATTCGGAATATTCAACCAGCTAAAAGAAAAAATATATACAGCTTTGAAGTTTTGAACCCACTACCTACAATATGGATATCTACCCGTCCTGATTATAGGAGATATCAACAGGAGATTAGGTCACTAATTCAGGAATGGTTAGAGGTCAAAATAATATTCAATTACCTACTATCTTATCCAGTCGTATCAGAGACAACATCAATTTGGTCGTTATAAAGATTTATGAATGAATAATAATCTTCAACTCTTAAGTTTAGGAGCCTTCTACAAAAATGAAGTACTAACATTAATTTGACCTTGTCTAACGACCCCTGTATTATTGACCTCTTCTTCTGGAACACACTGTATTCATGATAATCCGTGAGAAATTTGCAGTCTTCCCAAAATATAGATGACTTTTTACTGAAAAAGCCGGTAACTGTAATATTTCTGTTGTACAACATAATAAATTATAGGCAATTATTTTCAATTCCTCTAGTTTCTTCGGATTCTATTTTTTTTTTCAATGAAAAAAGGTGTGAGCATTATTTTTCAATAGATTCGTTGTGAGGACAAATTAGGTGATTTGTTACTGTCTTCAAAATTTCACTATTAGAGCCTAAAACGTCAATTCGATATTCAGTGACATCTTTTTTGAAAAAAATGTGTATAGAAGAGGGATAGAAGTACATATATCGAACTATCACTTATGTCTTTGGATATTTCTGGGACATTTGCTCATGTTTTCGACATAAAAGTAGAAATGTTTCTTTGCTTCAGAGATAGACACTTCTCAGTAACAAGTTGACAGAAACTATGGTCACAAGGTGTTGTCATTAATTGATCTTGAAATTTGATACCAACTCAATATATTAACTGAACGGGAAGCAATGTTTTTGAGAAGTAAGCAAATTTTTCAATTTATTTCCTCGATTGCTTATCTCCATTTTTCAAATTCATACCTATTTCTGTTCTTCACACATTTTCTCCAAAAGTGACACTGACTTGAGATAACATCATTTACACTCTAGGTTTTTAATAGGTAGTCAAATTTTTACAAGCAGTGACATCTTTGGTTAAATCATCTGATTCGTCTCTGCTACAAATATATTTAAATAGTACCTAGTACTGATAAAGGAGAGAAAATCTAAAAAAACTAGAGGTGGGATTTCCAACTGCTGAAAACTACCATAATGCAATCTTATTTTGACTTAATCATCTTCCTAAAGAAGCAACTAAGTGAAAAGTAAGAAGGCCTAATCAAGAAAAACTGATTCGATGACTCATTGGAGACCATTTCTCACAGACTAACATTAATTGACCAGAATTAAAGGCCCTAATGTCGACTGTCCAAAAAGTCAATAACAGAACCTCATTTTAGGTTCATAAAATACGGTCACTCCTCAGATAATTACCAATCACAAGACACCAAGTTAATGTTGAAACCTAACTATACTCAGCAATCTTTAGAATCAACCTGAGTACAAGTAAAAATACCGTGAAAAAGAATAATAGTTACAAAGACGTATTGTAGGAATGTTCTTCGGCGTGGTTCTGGAAGAAAGTGTGATGGTTTTTGTAATTCTCTTGGCCATATATTTTTTCAAGGTATTTTCTGCTATATCATGAAAGATGCCATAAAATTACTCTTGAAAAATTTAACACATACCTCTCCAGATTGCTGAGAAAATCCTATAGGATATATTATGAATAAAATAACTCTTTAAATACCATATGAATAAAGAAAATAATGATGAAAATGAATCGGTACAAACACCCGAAGTAATAATCAATGATTTCAATTTAAAACTTCTTCGCTATACTTCACATAAAAAATCAGATCGTTTCATAACAATTAATGTTTCGATAACAAAAGCTTCTCAGCCAGATAGTCAACAGAAATAAAATTTTTCTTGGTTACAGAAAACATTTGACTTAGATTGGTCCTCGTCGCAAATAATCTATATAATAATAATGATCGACCCACAAAAAATCACCAGAAGTTTGAAAAACAATTGTTTATATTTTACAATAAAAAAAACATGCACTTATAAAATTATACTGTACGGGGTACAGTTGACAACAAAAACAAATGTGGACAACATGAAATTTCTTCCAAACATTTTCAAACCTACATCTCAAAAGGTTGCAGATTTGATCAACCCTATGGGATATTTTCATAAACTGTAATTCTTATTGATAATTCATTTTTCACGGTTATAATAATAAATATAGGTAATAAATCCAGCATTTTTGAGATGCAGTCATCAAAATGTTCGAAAGAATTCTCATAAACATTGTAATAACAATACAAAAACGCTGGCACCTACCAGTGTGCCCTTATCACCGACAATTTAGACAAGAATGACGACTTTTTCAATCGAGGCTACCTAATTAAAATGGCGGAAACACGGTTTACACGACACAGAACGTCAACGCTAACATTGCATAACATTTGTTTTATTTAGAACATGTACTTGCAGGTAAAATCATTCGAATCTATTGAAATTTGCCCGTGCATTTTATTTTTACTATCGGTTTATGACCAAGAATGCTGGAAATTACCCAAAATTATGCATGTAAGCGTTTAAATACAATGACATTTAAAGGTACAATATATTACCTTGAAGATACAACAAATTATGTTTATGTAAGGTCAACATCATGCTCAGCATGTTAACTTCATAGTGACACTGATTGTACCAGACCTTATCAAAGATCGCTGAGGCGTTATGTTTATTATTGTAACGTTGTTCAAACCATATTTTGACGTGCTGCAATGACAGTGGAGGTATATTTTTCTTGTGTAGATGTATGATTCATTGAATTTTAAAAATTTTACAAAATTGATATTCATCATATACCGTTATATTTATAGTGTTCACGTCATACGCGACGTTGAATTCACCAGACATTTTCAAAGGGCGCTGAGGCGTTATGAACACCAAAATATTTTGAGTCCTGCAGTGCAAGTTATACTCAGCATTTGTAGGCGCAACGACGTCCTGAAGTGAAATTCACTGTCACCAGACCAGACTTGGAGTTATGCTCAGCATATGTTGAAGTCCTACGAGACATAAATGAACCAAAAGATCATCAAAGAGCGCTGAGGCATTACATTTATATTTGTAACGTTGTTCAAACCATAGTTCGATGTCCTGCAATGACCTTGAAGGTATATAAAATTATATCTTTGAGAGACTTGACGTTACGTTTATAGTGTTCACATTATGCTCAGCATATGTGGAAGGCCTACGTGAAATGAATGTTTACATTTGTATAATACATTGCCCTTGACAGATTGGACGTTATTTTTATAGTGTTCACGTTACGCTCAGCATATCTTGAAGTCCTACCATATTTTGACGTCCTACTACGACTTTGAAGGTACTAAATATTACCTTCGAGAATGCTCAGCATTTGTTAGCGTTACATGCATATTTAACGTTCTTTAGACCTGCGCAATAACATTGAATGTGCCAGCATTCAATGAACTCAATGTAAACAACTGGAAGGGAGACTGCCGTTTTCTCGAATAGCAGTGTATCAGGGGGGCCAGCTGCAACAAAGATAGCTTGTGTTACGGTAACCTGCCTCTTTCACACTCGTGTTGTTCAATGGCGGATTGGTATTATTTTTTTAATCAAATAATTGGAGTATTTGACATTTATTTTTTTATCTGAACAGTCAAAAAAGTGAAGACATAACTTCATTGTTTTTCGTTATGTGAAATATCGCTTTATTAGGCGTGTTTTGTTTTATTAAAAGGACTGAATTTGTTGGTGTGAATTGATTGTTGTTTCTTCAGTTCCAATTTTTTCCATCGTTCTTTTTCATGATATAGCTGAGACATTGAGTTTCGCTCAACCTATAAAATTTATCTGCAGTGTGTGCAATTCATTTCGTTGAAACAGATGAGATACATTTTCGCTTAGAGATGGATCATTTCTGAAAATTTTGCTAAGGAACAAGACACCCTCAGTTAGAGGGGAAAGTGTAAGACAGAGAGTGACATTTATTTTTATCAATTAGGTTCCCACTCAAATGTATTGAAAATATCTTCCCAAGTTGTAGTTATTGAATGAGATGCCGGTCCAAGTTTTACTAGGTGATAATAAGTTGGGATTCCATGATTCAAAATGATGACCATGAAATAGAGTAGGTGGTCACAACTTCAGAATAACATTTTAGCAAGATACAGAAACATCTCAGATCACACTGAGAATCAGATCAAAGAACAAAAAATTAGCTCATTTGATGACTTAGTAGAGAAGATATTGATATATCTGAGAAAAGCCCACACATCAGTATCTTGTTACTTCATTACACAAATCTTGAAATCATTTCAATCGATCACTTGGAACATGTTCTTCTTTTACAGTTATTATGTAAATTATGTTGTACACCCCACTTCCCAATATGTGTATAAACATCAAGAATAATTTCATTTAAGCTAACAAACGAACCAACTATCTTCATCTTGAATATTTCTCCAAGTAATAACCTCCATAGTAATAATTACTTGTCCAACATATCTTCTGTTTATCTGTTTATAAGAAACTCGTCGGCAACCAATACAAATACCCATAGGATCCTGCCTCGTAATTTTTAAACTTGATTGATGATATAAAATGGTACTTGACAGTTGTTAATTTTATCTACCAAACTGAATAGAACATGACCTGTGACCTGACCACTATTTTTGCTATTTTTTTCATTAATGTTCAATAATTTCAGAGACAGACGTTAGCGCGCAAACGTACCATTATTTGCCTCTGTCGCCGTGGTCGTCAGTCGAGAGTAGACCTTCCGCATCACGGCGTTCACAGAGAATCCCTTCCAGGTTAGGTGTTTACATTCAGCTCATTGCCAGCCAATTACCTTGACGTTATGTTCGCTTTACGTTGACGTTACGTGCAGCGTGAACCGTCCCTCCGTTCTGCCGTTTGAGGTTAGGTTCTCGAGAGAGTGAGAGAGGTTAGGTGCGGTGGCGCGTTAGGTCGATCACTGTATCGCGAGCGTGCCGAGGCCGTTGTTCCTCGCTCTTTTCATCTCCTCTTCGGCGATCCGTTGCTCGATCAGGTATTGGGCGGTGGTGATGGCGTGCGGGTTGCCGGTTATCGTGACGATGCGGTTGCGCGTGCCCGGCGCGAAGATGCCCTTCTTGGAGATTTGGATGTTGGCGCCGCTGATCTGCTGGATTTCGACGAGCGATCGCCCGCCCGGACCTGGAAGAGGAATAATTATTTATGTACCAAGTGCGTTATATAGATTGTTGTTGTTCTTCTTTATTACACCAAGGAACATATTTCTTTATAATAGGTATATACAGTGTGTCCCACTTACCATGCTCACCATGGGTATCTTTTTAACGGTGAGAGATACGAGGTCGGTTAAATGACACCAAATGTGGAATTTGTCAAGGCCAACTATAATGTGAAAAAATCTTTTGATAAAATCTATTCGTTTTTGTTTTATACGCAAAAAAACAGATTTTGATCATTTTCATGTCTCCTCCATAACTTCTTTATTTATGAAAATATTCAAATAGGAATTTCACATTCTCATGGCAGTTTTTCACAGTGATTTCGAAAAAAATATGAAATTTATACCAACTCTTCTAGAATTTGAGATATCAGCACCAACTTCAGTTTTTCAAATGAAGGTCATAGCTCACTATGACTTAGTTACAAATAACTTTTTTTTCTCTTTCAGACGATATATCGCAGTAATAAGTTTGTGTTGATAACAATGGAGTTATAAAACGAAAAATTATTTGGAAGCCGCCATCTTGAATTTGAAAATTTCAACAAAAAAATCATGATCTCCGACCTCAAAAACCCTCACTTACCAATTTTGAATGGAATCGGACCAAATCTTGTACGCCATCTTGGAGCAGCCATTTTTTTAAATTTCAACAAAAATTCCATAATGTATTGTCACTGAAATTATGAACACCTGCCAAATTTCAAGTTAATCGGAGTTATGGAATTTTTGTTGACATCAAAAAATGGCGGACAAGATTTGGTCCGATTCCATTCAAAATTGGTAAGTGGGGGTTTTTGAGGTCGGAGACCATGATTTTTTGTTGAAATTTTCAAATTCAAGATGGCGGCTTCCAAATAATTTTTCGTTTTTGTCTAAATGACGATAACTCCATTGTTATCAACAGAAAACTATTACTGCGATATATCATCTGAAAGAGAAAAAAAAGTTATTTGTAACTAAGTCATAGTGAGCTATGACTTTCATTTGAAAAACTGAAGTTGGTGCTGATATCTCAAATTCTAGAAGAGTTGGTATAAATTTCATATTTTTTTCGAAATCACTTTAAAAAACTGCCATGAGAATGTGAAATTCCTATTTGAATATTTTCATAAATAAAGAAGTTATGGAGGAGACATGAAAATGATCAAAATCTGTTTTTTGCGTATAAAACAAAAACGAATAGATTTTATCAAAATATTTTTTCACATTATAGTTGGCCTTGACAAACTCCACATTTGGTGTCATTTAACCGACCTCGTATCTCTCACCGTTAAAAAGATACCCATGGTGAGCATGGTAAGTGGGACACACTGTAAAACCATATGATGCAGCAGTGTAAAAGGAATACATTTTAAAGTTTATCCAAGCTTTCGGAAAAATATTTTTTCAATATATCAATATTTCTTCTCTCCAAACTTTATCCAAAAAAAAGTGTCACTGACAAGTTATTTACTTTTTCTTTTAGGCGTACTGATAGGAAAATTAGTTGAACGCAGTGACATTTTGAGGCAAATCATCTGATTTGTCCTGCTACACATATATTGAAATAATACTCATATTTTCATTTTGTAGAAACGAGAAGAGAAAAATCCCAAATAATCATGTGAAATGAATGTTACACCTCCTCGAGTAACCTACAGACAGTATTTATACATGTATAACCATGAATAGCCTGAAGTTCGAATTGTATTCCATGCGATTATTTTTTGAGTAGTTCTAAACAAACGTCAACATTTCACGACGCGCTTTCAATGTTACAAAATATGAATTGGTTACTATGGAAATAATTCTAAATTTCTGATTGGAAGAGTTACTCTTTGTATATCCACGTGTATTCGAAATTATACCAGGTAGCTTAACTCAATTGAATGTTCTGATTGGTTTAAAATTATATGACTAAAATAATCATTAAAATCTAAAACATGAGAACTTTTTTCGGTATTGTGACGTATTCTGGGAAAACACTACATGATTTCTAGATAAAGGAACTCATAGCACAGGGATGATGCCATCAAATAAATTTCTATTCAAATATTTGTGACTTTTCTGCAAATACAAAAATCCTACGATGCGATGCAACAATATGAAATCAACAAAATTCTATGGCGCCTGTTATCAATTTATTTATCCAGAGATTTGTCGACATTGTTAAAACTGCTTATGGTTGGAGGCCATTCAGTTATATTTCGCCAAAGCAGTATCACCTACATTGAAAATGAATTGTTTCTACATACTCTATATCGTAAGTAAGAATATTTTATCTGATTATGTTATTAAGAAGTTATTGTTTTTTCACAGATTTTCTTGATAGACGTTACTCAAGGATCACCAGGAGGAATATTTTCAAATCCTTTTTTTGATCGTCTGAAAAATCAGCCAAAGTCAGAAAATATCAGTGAAGATTCGAGATCAAACATCTCTGCGTACTTACCTCAGAACGATACGCGTGACGATCAAATTGAGAAAAATAATACAGGCGACCAGAGTGAGGAAAAAGTGAATGAAGCTTTGGAGCAATTGAGGATATTCATAGAGACAATAGTTGCTAAAAGGAAGGCTAAAGATTTGACTCTGGAATTGAACGATATCGATATTGGTCCAACATCTCGAGGAGTTTTTGTGAATTTAACGACTAGGCTGAATTCTTTAGTCAAACTAGTGATCAACCTCATTCTCCAAAATTTTAATACTATTATTGGTAAGATTGTGTTACTTCCAATAAAATTTGTTTTACAGATGATTCTAAATACAATTTTGCCTTGCGGTACTAGCTGCAAATCCATATTTGATTTTTAGAATTGTAAATATTTCAAGTATATAAATGAAACTGTTAATAATCTCGTATATAGGTATCAATAAAGGGTTAACTATACTTCCTTATACCAGAACTTGATTCTGACTGGAAGTAACATTTTCAATAAATAAATAAATAAATAAATAAATGTAATCAGGACGTTTTCTTAGTTTTTTTTTGCCTTTTCCAAGCTCTTGGTGTACTTCTGTAGAATAGGAAGCCAGTGCGAGCGAGCAAGAGAGAGAGAGGGAGCGAGAGGGGAGAGAATTTTGTGATTCTACGATCAATGATAACAAAGATAAGCGAAGAAAACTGCATTCAAGGACCTGCCTTCAAAGGGCTCTAGGTCCCTTAAGAAGCATATTCGGACACATGTTGATAGGAACATTTTTTCTTATTTTTATCTGCAGAATTACATTCCGGGATATACGAACTTTATTCTAGGACAACCTGTAAATTACTTTTGTGTAAATTGAAACTATCATCCTTATACAGGGTGGCATTGAAATAACTCCAAATATTTTAAACCCTGAGAAAGCTCGACGTATACTATCGAAAGGCAACAATAAAAAAATATAGCGATCCAAATAAAATATGGGGTAAGACCCCTTTTTCCACCCAAAGTTCCACACTGTAGCAATTCTCACGTAACCTCTGTTCACAATCACTATCATTCAAATTGTTTTTAAGAGTACTTGATTTTTCTCCCGGTTTATATTCAATTTTCAGTATGAAATTTCTCGTTAATTGAAAAAATTGAAAAAATCTGATATTATGGGAATATTTGTTAGACTGTATCATATCGCTGTGCTGAATATATGTACTTATTTCAAAAACACCTCGTATGTAAGTGGATTCAATAAAAAGTGCTTTTTTTCTCAATATTATAATTAGAAACAGTTAATGACTAAAAGAAGAGAAGTCATTGAAATGATAACTCGTTATTATGATGAAAAATTCTCTAGATTTGTTGGAATTTTTTACCTACTCGAAAAACTTACAGGCAATATTTAGTGACCAAAAAATCAATGTTATGAAGACAAAGTCATTAAATTGATTCCTTTTATAAGAAAAACAGCGCGTGACAACAGCTGAACCTAAACGCAAAACACGGATAAATTAATGTGTTTGGTACTTGTATATCATCCAATATTGTTCATATTTCAATACGTTATCTATTTCAAGTAGTGGAATCACCATGTTTGTTTTATGAATGAAGTTATGACTTGGCGACATGTTGCCATGAGGAAGCAGTTGAAAATAATAATAATAAATTAATAGCCATAAATTGAGAAGAAAAACATTCACAATACGTTCCTCAATCATCAACTTATATGAATCGAATCATCATACTATTGAAATACAGTCCGCTGCACTCAAGCAACGAACAATTGGTCCTTCGAGCCGGATCAAGAAAAGCAGCATTCACATACGTTCCTAAATCACCAGCTCAATATCAATCGAATCATCATATATCATTCATCGTACTATCGAAATACAGTCCACTGCATTCAAGCATCGAATGCGAATCGCGAATGGTGGGGATAATTTTGCAGAATCATTGCCAGAGAATTGATATCCTTTAGGGAAAGATATATTTATATAAATCGAAATTTCTATAAATGTGACTAGGGTAAATGCACTGGTCAGACGTCCTGGCTTTTGAGAAAAAATAAGAAGTTGCCGTTGAGCTCGGCGTGCTGAGCATGGCACCACAATTCAATCCTAAACGCCAAAGACGGATGAGTGAATAAAATCGCGAGCGGTAGGTATTCGCTTGAACTGCTTGTCGCTAACTGTGAGAGCTCCAGTATTGAGTGCTGCTCTGTATTCGTTGTGGAAAGCGTGGCAGTCTTGAAGGTTTGATTTGTATAGATTCGGCTCGAAGGACCAATAAGATCGATGCTTGATAGATAGTGAACTGTATTTGTATGGTTATATGATATATGCTAATCAAATGGAGGTTGATATTAAAATTGTAATTCGTATTGTAATTCTTCTTTATGATTTATAGTTTTTTTTATAAATCTTATATTTCAAGAACACGTCATGTGTTAATGAATGAAATCGCGAATGGTGATAGAGATATATTCTATATATCTCATAAATCAAGATTTCTATGAATGTGTGTAGGGTAAATGCACTGGTTCTTGACCAACCTGGGTTCTGAGACAAAATGATAAGAACATGAATTATGAAATTATTTTTGTTTTACCTAAGATGGCGCCGACGATCACCTCGGCGATCTCGACGTTCTTCGTGTCCTTGTTGCCGTTGAGCTCGGCGGGGGTGGGGCTCTTGCTGAGCATGGCCACCTGTTGCTGGCCGGCGGTGGTGCCCAAGCCGAAGCTGTTGTTGTTGAGCGAGATGGGCGCCGTCGCGGCGGACACCTGGTGCCTGAACGGATCGAAAGCGGATTCGTAGCGATCGAGGGCGGAGCGGGGGGCGGCCGAATTCGCACCTGGAACGACAACGAAGATGTAAACGGTTTGATTTGGTCGAAAAGTTGAATATTCTCTTTGTTCTTGAATGTCATAATAATAATATAATGGTGAATTATATACGGAGCGGGGGGCGGCCTACCAAGAGGTAGGTAATATGCTATGCGGGTTCTGTCTCATTTCAACCCTTTTTCCATTCCAACCTACCCCTATATTCTTAACGGATTTTTTTATTTTGAGTGAAGTGGATGAAAATGCAAAAATGGGTATCAGAATGAGCGTAACATTATTTATTGTCCACCAAAATGCGCCCCTGAATTTTGAGGTCTTCCTCTCTCCAAAATAATCTTGAGGTCATGGTTGGTAGAACTTATAAATGTACTTCTTATTTTCGTGTTATTTGGCCTCTTGCCTCTCCGTCAATGTACGAGTTGGTCGTAAAGTTCCCCATTGAGAGTAAAAAACGTAAATCAACTCAAGTCTTTCGATAACATGAGATTCTCTATTTGCTCCTTTAGGGCTAGTGAAAATGTTAGCCCTTATTGACATTGAAGACATGATTCGAATGTTTACTTTTATTTCTAGTGAAGTATATGAAAATGCATACTTTCATTCTGAAGATAGAGTCAATATCTAGCTGATCCCTTGATTTATGTAAATGTTGATTCCAAAATGGTAATTCATGAATACATTTTTTGTCTTTATGTCAGAATGATTTCATAGGTTTTTAAACAGATTTTGCTGCAATACTCTAGATTGATATCAAATACTGCAATTTACAATAGATCAAACAAAAATGAATCCACCTCAAGTATTCAAGTGGTATAAATGACCTGTCATTGTATTCACCATGTGATTTTTCATTGAAATAACTGAAAATTTACCGGCTGTCCCATTTAAAATAAGTAAGGGTAATTTCCCATCAAACCTGATGTGGAGAATACCTGAATACGTCAGAAACTGCAATTGTTGTATTCCAAAATTGTTCTATCTGTCATTCGGTTGACTCCTTACGACCAACAGGGTTACCGCATAAACGAACTTTATGGCTGCATGGGGTATAGGGGTGAGGTGAGGTAAGAGGGTGCATTGGTACCAACAAAAATTTCAAGAAATTGAATAAAAACAATATAGAACCTAAAACTTGAGGTGAGGTTATGATTTAGTATTGTTTTTCCGTGTTGATGGATAATATATTAAAGTATTTTTTTCAAAAATGACTGGTATGAAATATACTGTGAAGACGAGGTATCGACTGTGAAGAAATCTGTGATTGAATGTTTACATCAGTCAAATAATTGAACACAACATCCAGAAGTTGATCTGTTCATCTAGATACAGATAGTTTTCGAACGGAATGAAAAAAAGACATCAGAAGAAAATAGTAAAATATAATGAGATTTTTTTGCTCAGAATGCTGAGAGCCGCCATAAAAAAATTATAAAATTGGTAATTATTGTCAACACTGTCTGAAAATGTATGTTTATTCCAATGTATATTTTTTAAACGTTTTTGAATAAACTTATATTATTATTTTTATTATACAGCTCTTTTCGTAAATACCAGAATATACCAGTGGCGGCTCCTCAGAGGAGGCAACGGAGGCTGAGCCTCCTCAGAGATTCTCCATAAACTGATATTATCTATACTTTCTCATTAAAAGGACACCAAAATACATGGATTTTGATTTTATTTCCTGTCTTTAGGTAAATATTTTTGAATTGACAACAGTGCTTGCCCACGCATCACACGATGAAGTCTGCAAATCACGCGTAAAATATTCAACTTGGCAACATCTATAGGAGGCTAGACTCCTTCACAAGTTGCAACCCACGCGCGCAATGCAAATGCCCGAATACGTCCGAATAACACGTGTTTGTCGTGGTCGTGTCTCGTCGCGAATTGCGGACAATCGCGAGTGCATTGTTTATGTTAGGTTAATGGATAGGAGCTCTATAAATTTCTGAAAAATGAGTGTTTCAAACGATTGCGATTTAGTGGAATACTTCTTGGTGAACCCATTCAGTGCTTTGTCTTATAAAGATTAATTGATTGTGAAAAACAAACGTCCGACACCGGAATTAAAAAATCTGATTGTAACAGGTAACAAACAAAATCGTTCGTTCAATTCTGATAATTATAAAAAATATATCTGGCTGACGGGATCTGAGGTAAGGAATGAGCTATTTTGTTCGTACTGCGTATTATTTTCAACCGATAAGTCATCATGTTGGGGGCGATTAGGATATAATGATTTGAAAAATTTGCCTCGCGGATTGGATAGACACTGCAAATCACAGGAACACATCTCTTCGAGTATTAAGTTCAGGTTAACTGGTAAACAGAATGTCATTAGAGCTGTTGATTTGGGTGAGTCGTAGAGAGTTGTTTTTCACAATAAATCTCATATCATTCAGCCTCCTCTGTCATGAAAGTCACGAGCCGCCACTGGAATATAATAATAATAACATTTTTTAATCCCAAGAAACATACAATGTTTATAGAGGGAAACAACAAAAAAAAAATGAAATAAAATCAAATATGTGTATTTATTTTAATGCTACCCTGTATAGTAACCCTGGTTAGAAGGATTTATACGAGTATAATACTTGAAGGAGCTGGTTATGTTAGTGAGACATGTTGAATTTTGTGGACATTCTCTCAATTGTGGCTATTTTTATGACTCGATCGATTTAGCATTTTTAGATTTTTTTGATTTTTTGTTGTTGTCAGCTTATATTATTTTATTATCGTTGTTCGTAATCAACTTCGTCATACTAGAATTTTATTTCTGACTGGAAGCTAGTTTTACAATAAACAATAAACTATGGATTTTCAGCAAGCAGTGCATTTCGTAATTCGTACACTTACCTAAACAGTCTCCTAAACTGACTTGCCCGATGGCTCCGAACACGCCGGTACTGGTATTCGTCGTACCCGTTTGATCCATCACGCTAAGGTAATTGGAAACGGGCAGTGCACTGGGATGCGCCCCACTGATACCTGGGAAAAAACAATCTGATGTGAGTTTCCAACCGATCTCCGATGCCCTCTCGATAACATCATTTTTGATTTGTTGAAAATATTTTCAAAAATTCTCATCATAATTTTTTTCCGAAATGTATTGACCAACAGATCTTCTCCTTAGGGGTATCATACTAGTTTATATATCTCTTATAATTTCCTGTTAAGACTTTCTTGGTAATATTTCAATGGAAATTACGTCAATTGCAAACATTTACTCATGACACAATTTTTTTTTTGCATAGCTTGAAGCCATAACGAATGAAATCATAAGCATGCAAAAAAATACATACAGTGTGACCCACTTCTAATAGAAACACCCCTGTATCTTACGTAATCGTTGGGTGAGGATCCTGAAATTTGCTGGAGCGAGGGATATACCAAAAATGCGCTCTGTGACCAAGGGGTGTCATCTTCAGTGATATACACTGCTCGCCAACAGCCATGGAACCACCCCAATTTCCGGAAAATGATATTAGGAGTCAAAATAGGTTGAAAATCACTTCGTATTCGGAATCAGGACCCCCAATTCACTAACTATTCTTAGTTTTCCTTGAAAATTCTCAGCAGAAAATTTTAATTTCATCTCATTTCTCATGGAAGCACCCCCGTATCTCACGTATTTATTGAGGTAGGGTTCTTAAATTTGCAGGAGGAAGGGAAAGTCCAAAGATAAAGTCAATTCCGTAAGATACGGGGGTGCTTCCGTAAAAAGTGCTACAAAATTCAATTTTTCAGAACTGAAAATTGTCCAGGAAAAACATGAATAGTTAGTGAATTGGGCGTATTGATTCCGAATCCGACGTGATTTTCAACCTATTTTGACTCCTAATATCATTTTCCGGAAATTGGGGTGGTTCCATGGCTGTTGGCGAGCAGTGTATATCACTGAAGATGACTCCACTTGGTCATAGAGTGCATTTTTGGTATATCTCTCGCTTCAGCAAATTTCAGGATCCTTACACAACGATTACCTAAGATACAGGGGTGTTTCCATTGGAAGTGGGTCACACTGTATATACTAAAACTCGTGCGAATACTTGTTTATCAATGCCTATGTGTACGTTTTTGCAGGTATGATAATTAGTCATCAACCAATCAATCGTTTATTGGCATTGAGACAAGTCATATATCATACTTAGAAGTAGAATGACTTCACCATTGAAAAGAAATGTTGGTCTAAAATATCACAAAATTTGCCAGACAGAATTTTTGACTTTTTCCCCAGACATCTTGAAAAACAATGCCCTGATGCATAACAACGCCCAATGAAACCTAGTTAAGGGTGCATGAACTAGTATGTTTCGGATGTCTACCGCCCACTTTTTCGTAAAAAGAATGATTAACCTGTTTCAATTTTGACAATTTTTGATTCGGAAGTTGATGATAAAGGGGAAGACGACATGAAAATGAAACAAATGATGAGATGATGAGCTAATTTAATGCGTAAGTACTACACAGTACAGTCGGTAGACAATGGAAAAAATAATGATGGAATCCTAAAAAAATATGAAAAAATGAAATTCAAGATCCAAAATTGTAATGAACAAATCAAAAGTGGCATGAAAGAGCAACAGAAACAACAAAAAATACTTTAAACAATGAAAAATGATACTTGGAAAAACATTTATCAAAAGTCTCATAATCTCGTTTTTTTTTTCAACGAACATGATTATCCAAATGGATTGACATTTCTCTTCATCAATGTATCATTTTGCATTCGTACATTCATATCAGATGGTTTATTACCCAAGCCTACTGAGATGATTCCGTATTTGGCCAAGACCGTCAGTGCCGTGCAAATTTCGACTATTTGCGAATCTCCGAATCCAGAACTTCTCAGTTGAACCTGCAACAAAAGGAAAAGGTTGAACAACCATTATAATTGTGACATTGAAACTGCAAATCATTGTGAAAAATCCAAATCGGAGCGAGATCCCACGAAACCACACCCTAACTGAAAACGTCCATTAAAATGCCACTCCCACTACTGTAACACGCCGACCCACCTGACAAGACACGCCTATATCGAATACTAGTCTCTTATTCTGAAAGTATGCAGATCGGAAATCGTGTGTGTATTTTATTCGATTAAGATATTTTGTAGTTTGCATCTATGACAAAACTACTAACTAGACCGCTAGTGGTCATATCCCAGCAACCCAAAAATCTTATCCGAATTGATCGCCTAAAAACGCTACTGATCAACGCGTACAAACCTCCAAACTGTCGTTCATCACATCGAGTCATGTTTCTGGATGGTCGGAAACAGAAGTGTGAATAAGATATATGACAGAGGTCTTAAATGCACAGGATTCATCTCCATCAGTTCGATCTTGTAAGTGGCTTAGCTTCTTTCTTATGAAAGTGGTCTAGATAGTAGTATATCAGTGATTTGCACCCTCCAATGTCAACTAGTCTTCGAGAACACATTTCGATAAAAGGTGTTTTCCAAACGCTGCTGAAACTTTCATTTGTCAAAAACTTTTCGTCGTCATGAAAATGTTTCCAAAGCATTGAGTTGTCATGAAATTAGTCTTCGTTCATTTATTTAGTTTGAAAATAGAACATTGCCACACCCACCGACCTTGAACGAATTCTCACTCGCCTATACCGACATAATAGCAATTTATATGTCAAGGGAAGAAATGTATCAATTTTCTCCCGGGTGTGAAGTTTGATCCTCGACGCGTAGCACAAACGAATTAAGACAGCGCCCACTCACATCGAAACGCCCCATCCACTCAACTCGCAATTTATTTCGATCTATTTCTTGAAGTGCCCGCCTACTCAGAGAACAATAATACTACTTCAGATACCTGAAGAATCTGTACCGTGTTATCGAAACATGTTGTATTCTTTAGAAAGTCGTTGAAGCCCGTCCAAAATATCATTCTCCAATCCGAATCCAATCGCAAAAATCATCACCCAATCACTCTTATGACTTCTATCAAGCCACTTTCACTTTCCGAATCTTCTACAAGACCCCTCAAAACGATACCGATGTACCTCACTACGCTTACTCACTTTGAATCGCGACTAGTCAACTCAATACGATTTATATCCCCACCTACTACTAACCTTGCAACGAATTACAACCACCCCCTGTTGCCTTGAAATGCAGAATCACCCCACCCACTCACCTTGAAACAAATGAAGACTCCGCCTACTCATCTCGAAACGTACCTAGCCCCTCCCACTCATCTCGAAACTCACCTAGATCCTTCCACCCATTTCGACCTTTCTCTTAACAAGCTTTCAGTCCTCGCCTACCTCACCACCCACTCATTTTTATATGGATCAGTAGCTGCGCCGTCAAATTCGAAATGTGATGCCGATACCACTTTGCCTACTCACTCTGAAATCAATCTTTACCACGTCTACTCAACTTGATACGTTTTCTGTCCCCTACTAACGGAATACGACCCGTCTTTTTTTTTCGGCACATTTCACATGAGTCCAATTCAATCAGAAACCAATCTCGGTCAAATCCACTCGTCTAGAGACTAGCTTCCACCACGCCCCCTTGCCTTGAAACAGACCAAGTCCCCGCCCACTCAGCCTAAAACGAATCAAAACCACGCCCACCCACCTCGAAACGGGCCTATTGACCACACCCACTCAACTCGAGACCAGTTTCAACTTCACCTTCTTGCCTTGAAACAGAAAACGACTCCACCCACTCACCCCGAAACGATTCAAGACCCACCCACTCACCTCGAAAGGTATTTAGACCCACCCACTCACGTTCACCTTCTTGCCTTGAAACAGAAAAGACTCCACCCACTCACCTCGAAAGGGATCTAGACCCCGCCCACTCACCTTGATGTGATCCAACAGCTGCGCCGTCAGATTAGAGATGTTCTGGCCGGGCGCCGTCAGATTGAGGCTCAGGCTGATGCCGCCGCCGTTGAGGACGAGGCCCTGCGAGACGGTGGCGCCGAGCCCAGCGGCGGCGGCGGCGTTCAGGGTGGCGGTGGACGCGCCGAACGCGCCCGCCGCCGTCTGCTGATTGGCGAACGGCGAGCCGGTCGGGTTGAAGTTGGCCACGGGACCGTTCACGTCGGCGTAGGAGACGTTGAGGCAGGCGCCGGACTGGGGGTCCTCCACCACTTTGCCTGAATCGGAATGGAAGGAGAATGAGAGTGATCCAGGAACAGGAAACATATGTGAGTTGACTAGCATTTCATGAAGTCGACAACAACAAGCTTCGACCATTCACGATCTCGTTTCGCTCATATGGGCTGCTCGTAGTAGATAGATAGATAGATAATTTATTCAGTTGTACAGAGTTGTCTCACGCGTCTGAGAAGTAAGTCACATACATACAATTTAAAATCTAGTATAAACATTTCATAAAAAAAGTAAGCATAGATATAAAACATTACCACAGATTAAAAATAATCACTGACTGAGTATGGCTCCATACTGAGTAAGTAATTCCGTACCGAGCCAAGGAATCTTTTGGAATTTTGCATATCTTTCATCTCATCCGGAAGATTGTTATAAAATTGTATTGCATTGTACAGTGGACTTGTTTCGAAAATACACTTTTCGTGGATTGGGTAATTATAGTTGTTTTTTAGTCTCATGTTATGTTCATGATTCATTTTGTGACTGCTAAAGTGATATTCATGTGTGGTCTGGAATTTAATAGCCTCATAAATAAACAAGGCTGGTACAGTTAACATGTTGTTTTTTCTTAACATTTCCCGGCATGAGCTATCTATCTTCAGTGAACGCAGAATCACGCCAACATTGTGAAGGAAAAAATATACTAGAGTCTATGCAAAGTCAGTTGGAACAACACATCAAGCGCGGGCCGTCGGTCCCTTTGAAATTTTCAAAGAGAGTTTTCTATTCTGTGTATATTAGTGACGTTTATCCCAAATGTACTTACTTGATTTGCTTTTTCAATAAATATTGTTTTTCTAATTTCGACTTGTGATTTGACGTCTTACTTCACGTAACTAGTTGCCCCACAAAACGTACATATTATTTTTTTTTCTTTAGTGAAGTCGAGTGATTGCAGTTATATGATTTAAAAATTCCCGCTTGATTTAACTGAGAAATGCAGAAATGCGCTGTATAGTTCTTGGCCTCTGAGAGATGCAGATATATTGCCCCCATCGTTTAATGTGGGCGATTAGCAGTCCATTTGAGCGAAGTGAGATCCTGAATGAACAGGATACTGAAATAAGGCTTAACAAGATGGTTATCGGTAGAAAATCGCTGAATTTTTAGTATTCTTTGTGACAGATCTACTCATATTTCTAGATTGTAGTTGACTAAAAATATTAAACCGACAATATCACCATACTGGCGCCCAACGTGGGGCTATTTGGCTATTGAATGGCATACCACAGGAACTTCTAAAGGACATACAAATTACTCAAAACCAGTAATTCTCTGATAAATATTGTTCAAAATATGTAAAATTTGATGAAATGAGAAAGTGGAACGTGTTTTTTGTGCCAAAAATCAATTGTAGTTCAGGATGGGCAAATAGAGCAATGTTTCTCTCTATGGTTTAACAAGAAAACATTCTTCTATGGAGATTTCATGGAGAATGAGGTAAACATTTGATGTATCTCACCTATGATCATCAAGCAAGCTTGCCTGTTTTGTTCTCTATCTCCTATCACAGTGATGCATCTCTCTTGCAAACTGACGTCTTTGGCTTTTTGCGAAATCTGGACGTACGATCCGCTCGCTTCTTTGATCTGCTTGATATAATTTCCCGCTTTGCCTTTTAGAAAGAAAAAATCGTCAAAAATAATGGCAAAGAAACGAATACACAGTTTCAATAAAGTCACTTCCCTAGTTGGTAAAAGACACTTTCGACTCAAAAATGTTCAAGGAGTATGCCCATAATTGAGCTATGGGGATCGAGTTACGCTCGTAGTCACTGGCCACCCTTCATTTTATACATACCTATGATCATGCCTGCCGTCGAGTTGGGCACCAATATTTTCACTTGTCGTTCGCGTTCGTGCATCTTCCCGTCAGCCGTGCCGTCCGATATCGTCTTGGTCAGATCCGGTTTCTCCCGGATTTTCTCCATTATGAACTCGATCACGTTGATAATGGCCTCGACGCTGCCCGTTATCAGGCAGACGCGTTCCGTCGTACCTTCGGAAAAACGAACAATCATGAATATTTCTCGATATACTCAAAGGTTGCTATAGGTGCTAATCAGATTTTGCATAACTGTTTCAGTTTATGAGATACAGGGCGATTTTTGAAATTAATACTTTTTAGACCCCCTCTATATCAACGCAGAATCCAGTGGCGTACTAAAATTTTTTTTTCGGGTATGGTTTTGGAGATACCGCAAGCTTATGATTTTTCAAATGGAACACCATGTATTTTATAAGCTCATTAAATTCTTAATTTTTTCCCATCAAAATGAAATATAATGTATAAATATAAAATTGAGAATTGAATGAGCTTATAAAATACAGGGTGTTCCATTTGAAAAATCATAAGCTTGTCGTATCTCTAAAACCATACCCCGAAAACAAATTTTTCAGTACGCCACTGTATTCTGCGTAAAATTCTAGATGGGATGAGATTTTAGTTTGATATTTTCGCTGGAGATGTAGGGAGGAATATGGCTTCAAGCATTCATTTGACAAAGGTTCACAGTCATTTTGCAATATTCCTCAGGATGTACCGCACAGGATATACAGTCTGTCCAAGATAAGGTTGAACAGCATGGGGATCTCGAAAACGGTAAGAGATACGAAATCGGTTAAATGGGGAAAAAGTTGCGCATTCGGAGGCTCATATCAAGAGCCTTCGAAAATTTTGAAAATTATTTTTAGTTTTTGAGTTATATCGAAAAAAGTGAATTTTTGGAATTTCTATTTTATTTTTTTTTCTCCGTTATTATTAGAGATACAGCAAAACTGAGAATACTTTTTCATAGCAACTTTTGATGACGGTCAACGTGGTGATACCGATTTTTTCATGCGACGTTTCGTATTCGTGGAACCATCATCAACTTTTGTTTTTTAAATACGGTCCTGATAATTTTTTCACAGATTCTAAAAGGTTTTTTTATTCTGAATTCAACCATGTATTATACAAGGTGATTCATTTGTGTTTCGACCTATTTCCATCCATCATCAATGTTTTTTCGAAACTCCAAAGGAAAAATGCCAAATAAAAATCACCACGTTAAACCTCATCAAAAGTTGCAATGAAAAAGTATTTTCAGTTTTTCTGTATCTCTGATAATAACGGAGAAAAAAAAAATAAAATAGAAATTCCAAAAATTCACTTTTTTCGATATAACTCAAAAACTAAAAATAATTTTCAAAATTTTCGAAGGCTCTTGATATGAGCCTCCGAATGCGCAACTTTTTCCCCATTTAAGCGACTTCGTATCTCCTACCGTTTCCGAGATCCCCATGCTGTTCAACCTTATCTTGGACAGACTGTATAGTGTCAACAAAAAATCCAATTGCAGATATTTTCAATTGGATATAGGCCCAGATTTCGATTCATCCACATTTTCATTCGCCCACATTTCGATTCACCCACCTTTCATCAGGCCCACATTTTGATTCAGCCACAGTCTCCGAACAAACACGAACAATGCCTTGTTGCCAAATCTGATTGATGTTGAGAAACATCTAGGTTAGATTGTTTAGAAGAAGTAGTCTCCTTCCTTATGCAGGCATTGTGGCCTATATAGTGACAATTGCCACATCAAAGTGACAATTGTGTTACACCTACATTTGGCAACAGTGCATCCTTCGAGTATCCACGGAGGCAACGAGTTTATTGAAATGTGGTAGAATAGAATTGTGGGTGAATCGAAATGTGGGTCCAACACCGCGCAACCATACAGATTTGGTATAGCGTTTTTTTGCGTTTTATTACGTACAGTGAATCCTTGTGATTAGGTTACTGCTCAATAATGTTCATTACACAATAGTAGATTGTTTTATTAGAATCAAAAGTGGCACTTTCTTTGACAAGCGAATTTTGCATATGCGAGGCTGAGAGTCTAGCTTGTTGCAAAAAAAAAAATCGCTCAAGGTGGGCATATTGTATTCATCCAGATTGAATCCTGTAACTATTCATGTTATCGGAAAACCAACACACAGAATGAGCCGAATTTTGGAGAAAGTATCATGAAAGTGGGTACTGATGGCAAAATTGATAATTTAATAACTTTATTCGTTGAGGAATACTGAAATCACAGATGAAATAATGTGCTTGCCATGATATCAGCCGTTTCTAATGAAAGTAACGATTTGTTTTTGTTGTTTTCATATTATGTTTATCTTATCAATCACTAAAATTTGTAGAAATAATCCAATCCAATGATGATGATATTGATGAAAATATTTGCTGATCAATTAGTCATGTTTAATATATCTAAACAAAAGGGTGGATAAAACAGAAACCAAATGAAAACAAACCACGTGAATAGAGATTTCCCACGAAATTAAATTCAAATTGTCCTTTTATTGGCAAACAGAATCAAGTATAGTACCGGCAAGTACCGTTTACCTTATTTCTCAACAAAATAGCAAAGTAACTTCTAATTATAGCCAATAAATCTAACGAATTCGTTAGAAACCTTTGAACCGTTTGGAAAACTGAGTAATTACAACGTTTATAAATAAATACAGGGTCGTGTTTTTCTGAAATCAGGTGGATTACCTAATGATTAGAATTAATAGAAAATGTCTTTGTGCTTGCACGAAATTCAAACATACCCGTGATTTATAATTTAGTAATGCTAACGTTTTGTCATGCAAACATTTTGCATTAGCATATATACATTAGGTATACAATATACAACATTGTTTTCAAAAATGTACCATACATTGAATATTTTTATAGATACCTACAACAATTGAATGTTTAGAGAAAATAACTTGATATGAATGGCTTTCAAAATAATACATGTTTCAGGAGTTTCTATACATGCTGATGATATTATATTCTCGCTAAAAATGCCTGATATCACTGATTTTTTGCATTTACCCTTCAAAAGTATACAGGGTGGAACACATTTCATTGTCCCACTTTTTTATCTCTGAAACGGTTACATACATTTCGTGGAGCATTAGGATTATGTGAAGAAATCAAAGATATCATGAACTCTTCCGGAGATAATTGAGAAAAAACAACCCAGCCAACACATCTGTGACATGACATCTCTGAGATGTTGTGTTTATAGGTAACAGTGCGATATCACAAACGTTTCATCGTTGCGATATTCATAAGCAAACACATTTGCGATATATCTCTGAGAGATTGCGATGAGCCAACACTGCGATTATCACGATTGTTCCATCGCTGCGATGAACATAGGCGAACTCATGCGATAATTTTCCAAAAATGTGTTATTTAGATTCATGGTCGGTGAAAAAGAATACATGAATATAAGTTACTCAACAAAGGAAGCTAAATTTGCAAATATTCTTTACATTGCTATCAAACTATTCTTGGTTTGCTTACATCTCGCAGACGCACACTACAAAATTTTTGATACATATACGAGTAACAGATCTCATTCTGATGGAGATTCGTATAGGTTCAAAGGATAGCGCCGATGAAAAGACGATTGGATGGACAGGAGACCCGGGGGACCAATAACCAGTCACAACAACACATAATCAATATCAGATGTCATCAGAAGTCATGTTGTGATAACAGGTACATACACCACTGGAGGAAATTTTTGTTTCATTTTAAAACACCGCTTTTTCATCACAAATAACAAGTAGCAATAACATTGCATAAAATATATTGCTGTTATATCGCAGAGAACTAATCGCAGCAACGTTGCATGGATGAAACTTGAGTGGGACAAAATAACATCCCTCTGACATCGCAGCTACGTCTATGCGACATAGAGTGCGATATAGCAGGAAACAATTGTTACATCGCTGCGTTATCTCTGTGATGTAACTGTGTTTGCTGGGGTATGTATATTACCGAGTATATTACCGTTGTCAACATTGAATGAGAGGATGTTTTTGCTCACCTGGGTAAAAGTCATGTGACTTGGACATCTTGACGCGGGCTCCTGTCTCCTTCTGCAGTTGGGCGATAGTCTCGCCGCCTTTGCCGATGATGGCGCCAGCGGCGACACTGGGTACCAACAATTTGAAATGGAAAGTTCCATCTCCGCCTGAAACAACAACACACAAAATTATCTTCAATAATGTTTCAGTGACTATTTGTCACGTCTTGAATCACAAATTACTACTTGGGCATCGTGAGAATGGGCTTATATCACAAAAAAAATGTATTTCATAAATCGATAGAACTCACCCAAACTAGCTCACCACTGCAAACCGTTTTTTGCTGTGAGCTCCCTACGTTTCATAAAAAATTATTGAAATCCCCGATTTTTCGGACCTCTGAAAACGAGGCGATGCTGTGACGTCAAAACCCTAATACTGAAACAAGACTATTCCAGACAGAGATGAATGATACATGATTTCTGACAGAGTGAATTAGCGCGAGATCACAGTTGAAAGAATTGATACTTATATCAGTTGCCTCAGTCTCCGTCGGGCGTTTGGTATTTTCTTTCAACTATAGCGAGATCAGGTTTCTACGTCATAAGGGGGTCCGTTTTCAGAAGGTACTATTATTTATGTCCAAAAATAAAACATTCCAGTTAATTTTTCGATCGAATTATGTCGTCAATCCTTATTTATGTATGTAAGGATCATTATGAACATGGTTTGAGTTAAAAGTTCTACTAAGGTGTACACGCCCATTGGGCATATTCCTCAGCATATTATACTCCAGTCAAATAAGGGTTTCACCTCTACGCCAGTCAAATCGTACATAAAAAATGGATAAAAGCGCAAAGCGTGATGTAGTTTGATAGTTTGTTAGTTTGCAGCTTCGAAATACGTCAAAAGAACTTTTTTCAGATGTTGCGTTATGTTATAACACTATACGTTTTTCGGCTGGAATGTTACAAATTCATTTTACTTCAAAAACTGTAATCAGATCGTTTATCGAAAAACTTCTTGTAGGGTATTATTTTAACCTCACTTTATGTAGGGTATTATTTTACAGAGATTCACAGATGATATTGCATTACAGCCGAGACTGCTGTAGTCTGTATGATGGCTGGGATGGCATGGGATAAAATTTGTCGTCTTTAGAAAACTAGATAATCGCAAAAAAACGGCATTGTAACATTTGACCTTCAATAACTTACGCATGAGATTTTATGAGTTATGAGACTCGTGAGACAACTTTAAGAACATCGAAATGAGGGTGTATACGAGTTTCCAGCTTATTATCTCTCATTCCGAGGTTGACTCTTTTTTTTCATGACTAGTAATAGTGGGAATCGGGTGTTCTCTATTTAAAATTCATACACTCGCTGCTCCGTCACTGTTTCTTGACCGTTCTTCTATCGAAGAGAAGTCAAACACACCTTATGTCTTATTGCCACATTCTTGGCAATCTTGGCGCTACGGCTAAAAGGTTGCATAACAGAAAAACAAAGATCCAGCTAATGCCTCCAACAGAAACTCGATATTGAATAGACGATTAGAGATAGACGGCATGGCGTTTTCATTACATACCTTTTTTTGTTAGCTTCCTTTATTTGCTATCGCCTATAGCAATCTATTACGTCAGATAACCTTGAGAAACTAGTATGGGTTTTGCAGTTCGAGACGAAAGTAAAACATCTAAGCAGAAGCGAATCTGGCTCAGGGTGTCTAACGGTCTAGCTATGAAACCACATGAAATATTTGTAAATAGAGAATAATCCTCGGAAAAATCAGAATGAGGGTATACCGCAGAGTCGGGAGGGGATACCGAGGGGTGCACCGCATTTATTTCACCGAAAATTATTTCTATATTCATGTGCTGAATCACCAATATTCTCATTAAGTCTGAAATCTAAACTTATCAATCTTTTAGGGAAGACCTCGGGGGATACCATTGATTTTTTAAAATGGCATCATCGTGAGTTGTATAGCAAAGAACTACCAGTAAATATAATTTTAATTTACTAGGACGATAAAGAAATAATTTAAAATATGTTCATTACAATACTGCGCCATTTGAAATGGTGTTATCAATTCATTGACGTGACTGGTGTGACGTATTAGTCCCCACACGCCTATTGTCCTTGATCTGACCAATCACACTGCAACAATGCAGAATGGCAAGGTATCAGAGGGAGATATCTACAGTTCGGGACACGGGACTAATACGTCATATCTGGCTTTTTGAAAAATCGAATTGAATATGTTGATTTCAAAACGCTATAGATTCGATTCCCTTCAACCACACTTATAATTGATTGTACATTAAATGTAAATCATGATTCATCGATTGAAAGTGGTTTGGTCGGATTTCATTCCTCAGTGGTCTTTCTCATTATTCAATCAATTCAAAAATTTCTGAGGAACAAACGGGGTCTGCTGGTTGACTAAACGGAGAAAAAAATCACTAACCCTATAGGTGGATATTTTATAGTGACAACTAAAAACCTGTATACTATTTAGAAAAACTGAAATTGAAATTAACTTTCATACTCATTAATCGTCACTGTTTCCCACTTCGAGAATCATCGGAAGTGCAAAATAGAATCCTGTAAATGATGTCAACAATTATCTTTGTTATCTACTTCATTATATTCTTCAAAAGATCAACAGATCAAGAACTCAACACCCTACATCTCAGAGCGCTGCACACAAACTGAGAATCTTCACGAATGATATATTAGTTGGTCAGAAAGGCACTTGCATGACATGAAATTTTAATTGTACTAGCGAGAACGCATGTAACCACAGGTTGAGTTACTATTCTCATTTCTCATAGTATGATTCTAGTCCTGTTCATTTGTGCTTACTCTACCTGCTGAACTTGATTTTTTCTATGACATTTTTATCTGATTACCTACGGCCACTATATAAAGTCTACAAGAACACACGAGATACAGCCTCAGTTAGTAGCTCTTTACGCATAGTAAGCACATCGCACAGTTTTCGTTCATTCCGCCAGTCATGATCGCGTAATCGCCGTCACAGCGGATGACATAACTGTCAAGAATTATAATTCAGACTGTTTGTCCAAACTTTTTTAATATACTATAAGGCTGTAGGTAAAGTATAGTAGTAATGCGTGTTGTTAAGCAATTACGCACTCATGGAATTACGCGTGCGTAACTTTTCCATTCGTGCGTAATATGCTTCTTACCACACATATTTCTCAATATACTATTACATCATGCCATGCATGAACGGATACAACTATGGCAAAAAAAACAGCTTTAGCAAGTTCAGAGATACAAACGAATAGACTATAACTGTAATTTTTTTTACAGGGCTATTGAACCGATAGCGGATCAGAGTGTTACCCCCGATACAACGATCAGAGGCCATAACCATAAAGAAGAACTTACAGTTTATGAATGAAGAAGGAACAAATAATGAACGAATGATCCTGGACAACAAACGAAACGTGAACCAACTTCGTAGACATGAGTAATGCTGTGCCTCTAGCGATGAAGAAAGAAATAATCATAATTAATCAAGGCCTGATCTACAATCACTAACTCCGCCTACTTGGATAGATGTGACATCGCGTGAATTAGTGTAAGTCTTGATCTAAGTTCAGTCTGGTGCTGTACCAAAACAATACTCTATTGAACTAGTAAGCTCCACATGGCTCAACAAAGGTGTCAACAGTGAATGAAATCAGCGCCACAGTCAAAATAATTGTATTTCTATTTAGATCAGGAACTATAGTGCATTTCAGTTGAAAATAAAGCGGATAGTGAGGTAGAGTAGAAATTTAGATTTTTACAACTTTTCCGAGTGGTCAACAAACCAATTTAGCATTGTCAGCAAAGTCATCACAGAATTCATAATTATTTCAAGCAGATTTTGATTAGTTTTCGATAATTTTTCACACAATTTGACAATAGTTGATGCCAACAAATAACTCAAAATGCCTGGATCTTTTCCAAGTGGAATAGGTTTGTCAATAATTGGGCCATATGCAAGTGCTATCCATCTGTGCAGTTCTGATACATTTTCCATTTTCGTTCAGAAATGAATACGTGTATAGAGTTGTCCTGTCCTGTATGTATGTATGTATGTCGCCTACTTACCGATATCCCGGATCGATACGAGAGATATCGTGATATTTCCGTGCTGGCTGTATCCGTACTCTGAATAATCTTTCTTCCCTTGTCTCTCCATGTGACAACGGTGACGCTGTTTTCGGTTTGTCAAATTGTTTATCGAATTGTTTCATTCGAATTGACGGTGAAATACATATACAGAGTGTAACATAAGTACGTTGAAATAGTCAAGTGACATATTCCTGAGACATTCTTAAGAAAAAGAGTCTATATAAAATTGTTTCGGAGATACAGGGTGTTGAAATTGAAATTTTTTGTTCGCTTTTCAGAGATAACTTTTGCAAAAAATAAGTTATCCGCACGAAATTTGATACCCGGAGTTTTTTTGACGTGGGAAAACATAATTTCTTATATTAAATTTAATGTGACATCTAGAGGGCGCTGCGTACCCTGTCATTATTCATTTCAAATTGCCCTAACATTTTTGACAGTTAACTTTTGGGGCTCTTCATGAAAAATCATAATTCATGGAAAAATATTCCTTAGACTGTTTCATATTAATGACAGCGTACCGAGCGCCCTTTAGATGTTACATGAAAATTAATAGGATATTATGATTTCCCAAGTCAAAAAAATCCTGATGGACACAAAATTTTTATTTGTAATAGTTATCTCTGAAAAGCGAATAAAAAAATTAATTTCAACACCCTGTATCTCCGCGACTAAGCATTTCCGCACACAAGTTATAGACTTTTTGCCTTAAAATAATTGTCTCAGGACGTCACTTGAATATTTCAACGTACTTATGTTCATTAATCTGTTGTTTTCATCATAGAATTTAATTAACTGTCACTAAATTAATTTAGGGACTATTATAACTTTATGGTTTATGCACCACTTTTTTTTTAAATTTTAAACTCTTCTTGATCAAAACGTAGTCCTCAGCGTACTTAGCCCGATGAAAATATTTGTGTTACAACATTCAGTGATCACATAATTACAATAAGAATCATTCATTCATATTGTTTTCAAAGTCTAATTTCAACATACGACTAGAATTT